GAGGGGATTCTACAGACTGTTGAGGGTTCAGCCTCCTGATGAGTCGGTGAAACTCCGACGAAACAGTTTGTCACAGCCCCTCGTTTGTTGTCCTCTTCTCCATCTCTGCCTACGGTTTACCGGGCAGTTCTATTTGACGATATATACATATATATCTGTGCAAGTGTGCTGCTTCCGCGGCAGAGGGGTGTCTGGGCACTTCCCGCTCAACCACACAAACATGGGGAACCGTGCATTTTCTATTGCATTGCCCGTTTATACTTCTTTTGTTTTATTGATGGTTTGTGATGACTCGTAGATGAAATGACAGAGAAGAGTTTGGGGTTTCTTGACAACACACACTCACACACACGAAATCACCTGAGTGCAATCTGTTGTGTTTGGGCTCTTAAGCTTTCATCTTTGTTTGTTCATTCAGAAGCCTGCATGAGGCAGCAGGGAAGGTATTAGACAGTACTATGTCGGTCGCAAAAATATGATGTGGGTAAATGTATGGCATCTGGATTCTGTTGTCGGCGTAAATTGATATACATCCAGACTTTTTGTGGGCATTGTGCCCCATGGAGGATTTTGCATGGACCATCAGGTGCAATGTCCATTGCATCGCGCTATCTGATGATCACCTGCACTTCTTTTCTTTTCTCTTCTTCTTTCCTTTTCCTTTTTTTTTTTTTTTTTTTTTAGTGTGGCCCGATAGGCCATGGATCAGATATTAAACTGATCAGAACAGATACTACACTTGATCTGAGCCAAAAAGGCCGAGAAATGTATAGATCAGCTGCACTTCTAAATTCCATGTTTGTTTCGTTTTACGTGTATGGCCAGGCTACTGAAGTGATTCACAAAGCAGAGGCAATGTGCAACCTCAATCCGACTCCACGCAATGTTCTCCGAGAGCTGAGTACCTTCTCTTCCAAGACAAAGATTTTCTGTTTGGTATGTAGCCCTTCTGCCCGTTTTCTCTCACAGGCTGTGATTGAGTCACGCTTGAGATGCTCCAGATTCTTCAATTTTGTATTTCTTTCCTTGCTCAGCTGTTGGTAATCTTGAGCACCTGATTCATTTCAGCACAGGGCAAGCACACCTGGGCCCTTTTTTTTTTTTTTTTTTTTTTTTTTTTTTTAACCGGGCCGGTGCCCAAGGCTTGATATTACCAACAATAAGATTGAGGCCGGGGTCCTCACAGTCTACCCGGAGGATGATGACCCTGATGATACTGATGATACCACAGATAATGATGCTAAAGAGACTAATGATTCAAATATATGAAAAAATATAAAAGATTATGCTATATCAGCTATTCTGGCCTCCTAATCCTAGAACAACTCCTAGCCCTCCCTGCACCAGAACACTGTGCCTCAGAGACAAAACCAACCTACCCAACGTCAACCTTAGCTGATCTCTTCTCGCCACCTTGCAGCCCCCCCCGGTTCACCACTGGAATGCCTTCCACCCTCAGCGAACCCCAGATCTCTCTACAAGGCCTTACACTCCTGCCATTTGCAGGTTACAGGGCAACGCCCCAGCTCCGGCCAGCGTCGTTCTGGCATCGGCAAACCAAGGGCACAGAACAGAGCAACTCCGTAGATATTAGTCCAGGTTCAATCATCTTTGAAGTTCTATATTCCGAATGTGGAAGGATACTAGATGCTGTCAAAATTTCAGAACACCAAAAAGCTTAATATATCATTAATCAGATGATGATACTAATGAATCAAATGATGTGATGATGATGATGATGATGATTTTGATAATGAYGAGTATGATGATTAATAAATAGAAAATATAGCAAATATAAAAGACTATGTTATAACAGCACTTCTGGCCTCCTAATCCTCGAACCTTCCCAGCCCTCCCTGCACCAGGACATTTCATCTCAGAGACAATACCCTCCTTACCAATGTCTACCATAGCTGACCTGTTCTCGCCACCTAGACTATCCCTGGCCCCATAGGTTGTCAAGGCAGCCCCCCCGGTTCGCCACTGGATTGCCTTCCTCCCTCGGCAAATCCCCAGATCTCTCTACAAGGCCTCACACTCCTGCCAAATTGCAGGTTACAGGGCACTGCCCCAGCACCGGCCAGCGTCGTTCTGGCATCGCCAAACCAGGGGCAAAGACAAAGTAACTCTGTAGATATCGGTCCAGATTCAACGATCTCTAAAATCTCATTATCCCGATTAAGGAAGGAGGCCAGATACGGCCGAGAATTACAACACACCAGAAAGCATGATATAACATGGATGATGATGATGATAATGATGATTTTGATGATGAGATGATTCATAAAAAATCCGTACTCTCCCTTCCTTCCTCCATTCTGTCCACTCCCCTGTCTATCCCTTTACCCTAATCTGCCTCCGCTGGGATTTGATGCCCAGCCCCAGAAAAGAGTAATCCTCACAATCTGCCCGTGCCCCCTCCAGGGTTTCACCACCCACCTAATGAAACCCCTGCAGAGCTGGGCTCTCCCCCTCCCCCTCACCAAAATGACATTCGCTTGGATTTTGTTGATGACGAAGAACAGCACGCTGAAGATAAAGATAATGAGGAAGATAATGACGACCCTCTCACCTGCCGATGCGAAAGGCGAACAATGCCTTGAAGAACAATATCTAATAATAAAAACTAATAATGATGATAATAGTCATCATCATAATGATGAGTATATGATGACGATAATGATGATGCTGATGTTGATGATGATGATGATGATGATGATGATGACGCACCAATGATGATGATGATGATGATGATGATGATGATGATGATGACGCACCAATGATGATGATGATGATGATGATGATGATGATGATGACGACGCACCAATGATGATGATGCTCATGATGATGATGATGATGATGATGATGATGATGATGTGATGATGATGCTCATAATGATGATGCTGATGATGATGATGTTGATGACGCACCAATGATGATGATGCTCATAATGATGATGGTGATGATGATGATGATGTCAGTAATGCTGCTGCTGCTGATGATGATGATGATGCTGATGATGATGATAATGACGATGATGCTGATGATGATAATGATGATGGTGAGATGATGATGATGATGATGATGATGATGATGATGATAACGATGATGATGACAACCGCCGATGATGATGATGATGATGATGATAACGATGATGATGACAACCGCCGATGATGATGATGATGATGACGGCGATGATAAAACCGAAGCTGGTGATGAAGATGCCCTCCTACGAGCTGATGATAAAGCTGTCGCTGACGAACATGCTGATGAAGAAGCCCGCTTA